TGGGATCGATATCTAGAACTCCATTAGAGTCCTTTATTACTTGAGCGATATGTATACTTGCGTTATTTTTAGGGAATTTGACAGTTTAAAGATTTTTAAAAAAAGATAAGATTATTTTCATAAAATTTATTTTTGTTGGGATTAATTTTAATATTTAATATTATTTATGTCGTATGTATTTTGTAATATTAAAAAATATTTGCAAAATTAACACACTAAATTCACCTTGCATCAAGTTTTTGGCACCATTGTCGGGGAAGTAACAGAAAGTAATAGTAAGTTTATTTATAATTTGAATTACTTTTATTTTAAAACCTTAAAAAAAGTTTTTGTAGTTTAGTTTGAATATGTTCATAGTTTAGCGTGATGTTTATTTTTATTACTTATTGTGTATGTTTATGCGTAGTGTAAGATCTGACGATTTAGTGTCTTATGATTCTTAATTAGAAAGAACTATTAGAAAAATTTGAAAACAACGAAAAGAGATAGATCATATTAGCAAAATTACTTGTAATTTGAATAATGTCAGAAATGAAAATGAACATCATCAAAGACCTTTAAGAGATTATGGTAATCCTACAACAGATGAAATTTATTTGAGTATATAACTCTGCTGCAGCTGCCAATTCATTTAAGCTTAAACCTGTTATTACCCAAATGGTACAAAATAATCAGTTTGGGGGAACACCAATTTACACATTGCTAGTTTTTTAGAATTGTGTGCTACTTTTAAATGTGATGGAGTGTCAAATGATGTTGTCATACTTAAACTTTTTCCTTTTCCATTAAGGGATAAAGCCAAGATGTGGTTAAACTCTTTAGCACCAAGATTGTACTTGAATCTATCAGAACTTGGGGAGACTTATCACAAAAATTTTTATCTGAATATTTTCATCCTTCAAAAACTACTAAGCTTAGAAACGATATTACATCTTTTTGTTAGTTTGAATGAGAATCAATTTATGAAGCTTGAGAAAGATTTAAAGATCTCCTTGGGAAGTATCCACACTATGCATTGCCAAACTGGTTAATAATTCAAACTTTTGTCGGCAGAATTTTATTTGGGGTTGTTCTAAGGTAGCTGTCAGTCACCGGAATCGGAATCCCGTCGCTCGCTTCGGAGAGACATTTAATATATATATATATATATATATATATATATATATAAGTTTAGAAAAATATGAAATCAAGCCGATCTCATATCTCTCAATGTTTAGATTTTCAAAGTTTAGATGAAAGAGCACTACAGCTCAAGCTATGTATTTATCCTGAAAGATAAACACAAGATTTGAGGGTGAGACTCGATCAAACAAACCAGGAAATACATGACATCTATTTGGTCTGCAAAACCATTTTATTATAAGCCGACAGGTTCTCTTATTTAATACGAAAAAGTAAATAAGGTTTATTTTAAGTTGGGTTCGGAAAAGCTTCCTATAAGGGCAAGTCCCTATAGTTAATTACATCATAGATAACTGAAGTCACCTAAGATAAACATCATAGATAACTGAAGTCACCTAAGAAAACTCTCGATAAAAATCAGGGGATATCGACTTTAAGAATTTCAAAGGATAGGACTTTTCAAGGAGATCGGACAAAGATGTGTGAAAAGGGAATGACTCAAATTTGGAACATTTATTTTTGGAATTCGAAGGAAGAAGAACTAGGGGATGTCAAAGATCCTGAGGAGAACCTCGGTGACTTCTCAAGCTATCCTACTGTTTGGCTTCAATTTAGAGGAGAAATACATAAATGTTTCATCCTTCTAATTTTATTGATTAGAGCTTACATCCACGTGAAACGATCACACAAATGACCTGGAAGATGTGAGGATTTATGTCATGATAAATGACAACCTTGGAATCCTAAGACGGGTTAGGGCTTAAATTGCATAGTAGAGCTATCCAAAGGCCTAAAGATAAGTTGAGGATTTATGTTGCATGAGCAAACAAGCTCAAAATTCTAGCTCAAAATCCTATGGTTTATTGTTTGATTCTAAAGAATGGTTTAGCTAGTGTAGACATGTTTTGTTGTTGAAGATGGTAGTGCTGCCCGCAATGCTAGCTCCAAGCTCCTCGTCATAACAAGTTTAAGTTTTCTAATGTGTCAGGTCCTGATGTCAACCTTCTGAGCTAGTTGCAAATGTTGTCATCATAACCAAAAATCTGTCTATATGAGTTGATAAATCGTGCACCTACCCTTTAGTCATGGGTTTAAACAATGGGGACGAGCCGCTAAGAGCATGTTGGAAATAGCCAGGTCGCCTACCTTCAGTGGCTAATGGAACTATAATCACCGAAGTTGAAACAACCACAAAATCTCGCTTTGACATAAGCCTTTGCGAGCAACAAAATAGCACATTTAGTAAGAAAATAATAGATATATATATACTAAAGATGTTATGTTACCTTTATAAGGCAGGTCAATTGTGGGTTTTCCCATCTGTGCCACCTCCTCTTGTGTCTACTCCCCAAGACTCTCACCCACTATCATAAAAAGATTGCTAGAAGACTTCGTGAGATCTGGCCACCGATCTACAGACATGTCTAACTAAATGTCAGGAACATTCAAGTATGATTCATCGGTTCTCAAAAAATAATATAAGCTAACTCTTAGATGATTTCAGACTATACTTTACCACCCAAACTGAGCTTAAGAAGTGACACATGGTTGAATTACTTTAGCTCACTATTTATTTTTTAATAGAGAGCCATGCCCACTTCCCCCATTAGGATCCTACATATCTAGTTGGAATGTCATTCATCAAAGAGAAATGGAAAAGGGAAGAAGTAGTCTAAACAAAAAAACATATAAGAGATGACTCTCTTGAAAATGATAACTACACTGATAACCCCTATTGCGTATATGTGATATTTTTTTTATAAAACTAGGGAGTTAGTGCTTGAAGAAACTCATTGGCTACCATATTATTACCATATTAAAAACTCATGTTAAATTTTCTTTGAAACCATAATTGCGTTGCTGAGAAGACCTCAATATTCATATATGGATTTCATTTCAAAATCATATGACGATTATTTCCTAATGAAAAAAAAGGTTCTAATACATGTGAAACTAAATTACGGTAATAGTACAAGAAATCTCAAATTTTATTCTTTTAATCTAATTCTTTATTTATTATAAATGTAAAAATTTATCAGTAAAAAATCCCATCCCCAATATATGTTTAAGAATCATTTCTTTTACCGGCCTGTTAATAAAAAAGCCTATAAAAATGTCTTTATTACTAATGACTCGACCATATATGAGAATGAGCTTACTAACTTAGAAGTTAAATATTGTGAGGTCTTGGCCCATAAAATTCAATAGGCTCAAGTGACTACTCTGTGTAGGAGAGCTACGACCCTGAAGTGAAGAATAGTTTGAACTCAGAAGTAAGTTTAAGTAATTAATCTTTATACAAGAGTTACGTCCATACAAGAGTTACGTCCCCCGGGCAAAGGAAAATTTGAACTCAAAAGCAAGTTCAAGAAAATTTGAACTCAAAATTTGAACTACTTAATTAATGAGACTACTCATTAATTAACTTTTTTATAATAATTTCTTATTCTTCATTTAAAAAATTATGCTATAAGTAATTTGGGTGCTATAAATATAAAATATTAATTTTAGGTATTGGATATGTAAATACATAGAAATTGGTTGGGATCCATGTAAATGCCTGAAAAAATGAAAAAGGTGCACTCACAAAAATATAAAAAAAAAACTTTTTTAGAATTTATCTTTTATTTATTTAGTCATATTTCCTTATTACAACTCTGTATATATAAACTTAAATTTGTTTAAAATAAATAGAGAGAAATCTCTCATATAAGTTTTATAGCCACGCTCCTGCGGGGATTTGGTAGTTGAGCTCAAACCAACACAGGCCGAACATGAATACGAAAAAGTAATTCAAGTCGGACACGAATACACTATTCACTAGCTAGTCGAATAGAGTCAAATTCGAATAGGAGATTTTAAATAAGTCGAGTCTGAACTTACTCAAACTCAACTCACTTACATCCCTACCTAGAAGTCATCTCTACCCGCAGAATTAACACTCCGGTTAAACTTAGAATTTACATAAAAATTCATCATATGTTCACTATATAATGACAAAGACTGCATTTCATTTTATAGCAAGCACTTCTTTAGCATTGGCATTTACAAACATACCCCATAACTTCTATGTATTTATACATTTAATACATACACCATCATATTTATATGAATACCTCTCCTAATTTTAATATTTATATATTTAAAAAATCATTGGACCGACGAAGCCCAACCTCATTAAACAAGGTAGAATAGTGTCACATCAAAACATCTGGTATATAAATAAACATTTCACGTTTTTCAATGATGTGCAGAGTTAGAAAAAGCTTTCATAGGTCCCCCTAATCTCTCGTGATCTATTTACCACCCGAAAATTGTTTTTTTATTTTTTTAAATAAATAAAATTTATTCCATTGCATGCTGTCAATTTGGCTAGTTGTTCGTAAACAGCTAGTGTTCGGCTCGTTAAGCAGCTCGTGTTCGGCTCGTTCGTTAAGCCTAATGAGCCGAAAACGAATAATTTTTTAAGTTTGAAATGTAAACGAGCTCGAAATCGCTCGAAAAAAAAAATATATATAATTTTTTATATAATAATATATTACAATCTTTTTTTGTATAGATTTGATTCGTGTTTGAATCCATACTTTACATCTATTTTTCTCAATTTTTTGTATAGATTTGATTCATGTTTGAATCCATACTTTACATCTATTTTTCTCAATTTTAGTTTAACAAGTTAATTTCGAGCCAAACATGAGCCGAACACGAACGCAAATATTTAAATCGAGCCTCGAGCACGAGCCAATTTCGAACACGAATAATTTCAAAAGAGCCGAACACGGAACGAGCTGAACACTAGCCAAATCTGAGCTCACTTGTTTACAGGCCTAATTGCAGCTATTTTTGGTTAGTCAAATCTGAGGGCACTTGTTTACAGGCCTAATTGCAGCTATTTTTGGTCTCTCTCTCTTCCGACTCCAATGCCTTCCAGAGGAGCAGGTGAAGCTACTCTCTCTCTCTCTACTGTACCGCTATCTCTCTCTCTCCCCCTCTCTCAAAATTTCAGCTTTATTTAATTATTGTTATCACAAAACAATCTCCATTAAAAAGTTCCGATCTTTACCGCATGCATGTTTGCTAGCTGCTCGCCACTCAATAATTATTATTATTTTTTTTTTCTTGTTTCTCCTCAGAGTTCATATGATGCTACTCTCTGCATCACTGGCATAGAAAGCAACAAGCAGAGTTTTTGTTTGATTGAGAAGCCGAAGCTAGGCTGCAATGAATTCAGAGGTGAGGCTGGAATCTGCAGTGTTCCAACTCACGCCGACGCGGACTAGGTTAGATGCGAAATCTCTAGGTTTAAAATCCTGAATCAGGATGATTTTTTAGTTAAATTTCATTCATTTTTGTGTAAAATAGATTTGGTTGGAATCATTGGGTATCTTCTGGATACTTCTTAGTTCAGGCGTCGTCCCTGTCTGCAAATTGTTGATGATTTTGAAATTATGTCATGATAGTGAACCCTAATGTGCAATCTCAAGTGGTGACAGCTCCTGAAAACGTTTGATGTTCTTGTTTCTGCAGGTGTGATCTGATTATCACGGCTAAATGCGGGAAAGAAAAGCTTGCATCTGGTCTTGTGAATCCTTTTCTTTCCCATCTGAAGACTGCCCAGGATCAAATCGCCAGAGGTGGATATTCAATCAAACTTGAACCAGATCCTGGTGCAGAAGCTGCATGGTTTACGAAAGGCACTGTGGAGATGTATGTGCCCTATTTAGTATTTCATTTTACATCAATTTTGATATTGTATGATTGATTGCTTCAGTTTTTGGGAGTTTTCTGTATTTTTAGTGCTGTGATTTAATGCATGGTGTATTGAAATGCTAGGTTTGTTCGCTTTGTGAGTACACCAGATATATTGGAAAGAGTAAATACTATAGAGTCTGAGATTTTACAGATTGATAAGGCGATCTTGATGCAGGGAAATGAAAATTTTGGCCTTAGCACTGTGAGTATTAGATTTACAATGCGCAGAAAAGGAAATTTAGGTATTGCTTGTAATGATTTTGCTGTCTCTCATCTCACAGGTGGAAGAACATCATGAAATGAACTCAGTTTGTGGCATTGAGGGTACCTCACTTTGTTTATACATTCCATAGTTTTAGGTTCCCTTTCTTTTTTTGAAATAGGAAGTTTGAGGTGCTGTATATGCCATGCATGTTTTCCCAGCCATCTATTTTATCTGAAGGCGTGCTTTTTGGGTCTTCTATCATTGTTCTCAAGTAATAGAAACATTTTATGATTTTCTTTTATTTTTAATCAGTCAATTTGCTGTTTAATATGTCTGTATTGTATGGTATGATTGAAAATGGCCTTTAGAGTTAACAAATAGAAAACAGAAATGCATTCCTCTGTTGGCGAGCTTATGGTCTTCTGTCACTGGTTTCCCCAGCATGATTTGGATACATATTCATGCATATCTTTTATGAACTTCAAATTTGGTGCCATCATTTTATTCCTTCCTTTTTTGTTGAATGAAATGACCTTGATTTTAACTTGAATGTTATAGTTAAAAAGCCAGTATTTGATGCAGACACTGAGAAGGCAATAATTCCTTATAAGGTATAGGCTAGGCACTTTCATTGAGAGTAATTTGTCATTGTTTGAGTATTTTCCCTTAAGGAGAATAATTTTGTTGATTTATTGCAGCCTGTATCACATCCCAATCCACCAGTGTTAAATGGATCCAAAGTGCATGGGGAAAACTCCAAGTATGTATGTCCTCTATCTATTGCATATGTTTGCTTACCGAATCCTTCTATTCACTAAGCACCTTAGGAAATCTCACTTTCATTAAATTTTTGGTGACTTGAGCGATAAAATTATCACAGAAACACTGATATTAATATTTCATTTATCGTGTCTGATAGCATATTGTAAATAATCGGAAAAAGATATTATGTACAAAAAATGCAAGCATCCAGCATCCAGCACTCTTCAATCCAATGCATTGCTGTGTAAAAGCTTTATTTTTGTTCTTAACTGAAGCTGTTGAATTCAATTATATGATAGTATTTATTACTTTTTGCAGAGTTCAGCTTCTAAGAATTCTTGAGAGCCGCAAAAAGGTTTTGCAGGAAGAACAGGCTATGGCCTTTGCACGCACTACAGCTGCTGGCTTTGACATAGAAAGCATGAAACATTTAATTTCATTTGCTGACTCATTTGGTGCTTCACGGCTGAAGTTAGTTGTCTATCTCATTATAAATTTTCTAGCTTTCTAAATTATTCTTCTCCTTTATTTACTTGGAAAAACATCAAGAAGCCAGAATCATTTAACAAAAGTCACCAACTAAAAAATAGGGATAATTTGTAGGACTGGATTGCAAGAGATAAAATGACTGGGAGAGTCAGGATTTTAATATTTTCTGAACACAGTTATATGTAAGATAAAGAAGTTATTCTGTGAATTTGTACATGAGTTGCCGGATGTGATGAAGCTTTGATTGAATATTTTCTATGGAGATTGAGCAATTTACTATCCATGAATTTTTGGGGGTCTCTTTTGAAATATCGTCTGTTCGCTTTAACTTTTATCCTATTTCACTTCTAAATTCTTACCTTTTTTCTATCAAAATAGGGAGGCATGTGTACGTTATACAGATTTATGGAACGCAAAGCATGAAACTGGACAGTGGATAGAAGTCGAAGCTACAGAAGCACGGTCTTATAGGTCCGATTTTTCTCCTTTGAATTCATCAGAGATTATTTTTTCTGGAGATGCCTTGAGAAAAAAGGAGTTGGTAGAAGCTTGGCCATTATCTAGCATAGATACAAGCAAAGAGAGTAATGGAAATACTGCTGGCCATGACATTGATAGAGGTTAGAAAATTTAATCCATTGAACCTTAAATACTACTTTTTTTCATGATCTTGAAAAAAGAAGAAAGTTTAAACTGTACTTTATTTTATTTTTATCTTAGATTCATTATATGCTTAGAGGCCCTTTGAATAGAATTTCAAGTATTTTTCTTTGAGTTTCTTATAATGTTATCAATGGCGAGTTAACTGATCATGATGAAAGATCCTAGACTTGTAAAAGAGATTTGCTGAATGTGAGAAACTTTTTTGCCTAATTTTGTTGCCAAAATCATATGTCATGTGATTGAAGGAAAATATGGTAATTTAACTGTCAAGATATCCTTTTTTGGCAAGTTTCAGTGAAAACCTGATGCCTTTATCATTCCACTTTGTATAATTCTTTTTTTTAATTTTTGACTTGTGCTTTTCCATATTGCTTCAATTCTGTTCTTCACAAAATGCCTAGGTTTTTATTCTTTCCAATGTTTGTCGAAGACAAAATAGGCAACATGTTTCTATTCTTCAAATCACATTGTATTTATTACATTGATGGATTTTTTTCTAACACGGTTCATTTCATATGATAGAATCCTTGAATTTATATCTGATTTCGTGTTTTCTGAATCACCTATTTTCATATTTTTGAATGAGCTAATTTACCTTAATAAGTCACCGCATCTAGTTAATATCTAGAAATGATTAAAATTCTTATAATTGCTGTTTAAATTGCCAGATAAAAGGTCTCCTTCAGAACCACAGGCGCCTCTTGCTCCGCATGAGTATTATCCAGGACAGTTTCAACACCCAGCTTTTCCTCAATGGCCTATGCTTTCCCAGCCAAACCCTCTTGGATTTCATCTGCACCCAATGCAAGCTATGCCTTACTATCAAAATTATCCAATGACTGGTCAATTCTTTCACCAACCTCCCCCACCAACAGAAGACCCCAGGTTCAACACACCAAAAAGAAAGGTGAAAAAGAAGCAATCCATGAATAGTGATAGTTCTGCATCAGAAGATGTGTCCGACATAAGTAAGTCAGATTCTGAGAAAGAGTCATCTAGAGGCCACAGTTCTCATCACAAGTCTGCCCATTCTAGGAAGAAAAAGGGTGTTGTTGTCATTCGAAACTTGAACTACATTGCAGGGAAGGGACATGAGGCATCTGGAAATGGATCAGAATCCATGCATGACTCTGAATTTGAAGAAAAAAAAGATTCAAAATCTTCGAAGAGAAATGACAGCCACATAAAATCTTTGGAGATCTCAAATGTACATGGCAAGGATGAAGATATATATTCACAAGAAGCGGATGCTGGGAATTGGCAAGCATTTCAGAGCTTTTTATTGAGAGCTGAAGAGAAGATGACCAGTGCGGTTAATGGAGACATATTGACTTGTGAGAAAGTGCCTTCAGTAAAAAAAGGGCAGAGTAATAATGGACCTGATTCTATCCTTCTTCCTGAAAGGGATTCTAGTAGTTATCGGAATGAAAGTATCATTGAATATGAGGGTGATGGCAATTCCAAGAAGAGCTGCTTGCGCAATGTAAATGATGATTCATTTATGGTTCCTTTAAGGTCAGGCTCAGGAGCAGGTGGAATGCTTACAATTGACTTGGAGTCTGAGCTCCCTTCATTTATTCAGAGAAATAAGGATTCTAACGATAAAAAAACTTCTAGTGTTACGTGTGAGCCAGATGATTTAACCTTGATGCTTGGACATGCAAGAAGAGAGAGTGAATCAGTAGGCTATGATCCAGCTATAGATTATGACATTCAAGTCCCTCTTGTTGTCAAACATGAATCCAAGAAGGAAGAAAATGATGTGCTTGCAAACACCAATGAAGGATTGATGAATTCTGTCAAAGAAAAGAAACTGAAATCTCCTCAGGTTGGATTTGACAAAAAAAGAAATGATGCAATGACAAAGAAAATGGCATCTTCTAAGTCCACCCCTTTGACTGAAGCACAAAAGAGAGCAGAAAAGTTACGAAACTACAAAGCTGATCTTCAAAAGCTTAAGAAAGAACAGGTATATTTTAACGATCCACTTTAGTGTCGGGCACAATTTGGTTTTGTTTCAAATATAACAAGGCTTGAAACCAAACCACATCGAACATTGAGGCCTGACATGTATAAAATAAAACAGAACATAATGTTTGTTTTGGTTTTTGTCCATTTTTGGTTTAGGATGAGATTAAAGAAAAATTATAATCTGGATTGGTGCAGTTCGTTTTGAATACGTTAACTGGTTGTATTCGGATTGGCTTAGTATTACATGTATTGGAAGTTAGAATTGGTCACTTGTCAGTGATAATTTTGGATTTAACTGCATTTATTTAATTAGATGACTCAGGGATACATTATGTACTGGTTTGATTAGGTTCAGTTCATTATTTCAACCAAAACTCAAATCTAAAGCAAACCAAATGGTACAAATTAGTTTTACAAACCTGTGAACCAGAACAAAATCAAATGTAGCCATACTGATTAGACTTTACAGGTCAGGTCTCCACCCCCAAATGTACTTTCAGCTCTGGTTACCAACTTTAATGCTGAAATTGTTAAAGCAAAAGGAGCTGTCAGTTGGAATTGCTGGGATGGAATCCGTTATATCAGCACTCAAATATTTTTTCTTGAAACTGCAGGTTGCCAACTTGATTTGCTCATACACCATCCATAACATCTGTATGTTGCTGTTTTCAGGAAGCGGAAGAGATAAGAAGGTTGGAAGCATTGAAAAGAGAGCGGCAGAAACGGATAGCAGCAAGAAGTAGTTCCAATGCTGTCCAATCACCAGCTACCCCACAACAGCACAAACCTAGGTTGGCTGTAAAAGTATCACCAACTTCTTACAAAAGTTCCAAATTCACTGACTCAGAAGCTGTTTCAAATTCTCCTCTACAAAAGCTGCCTATAAATATTGGTTCAGTTGGGTCCAATCATTCTGACAAAACGTCTAAACCTCCAAGGCATAATGGCTTAAGTCGTTCAGCACCATCATTGCCTGAGTTCAAGAAAGAAATCGTGAAAAAAGTGGGAACTCTAGCTTCCGAGCGAATTAGAAGACTCTCAGAACCCAAAGACAGTAGCGTGCATAGTGCTCCAGCAAAATCAGCAATTACTATTCAAGCAAGTAAGAAATCATCATCTGAGGAGCCCCAATCAAAAAAGATATCTGCAATAATACAGCTAGACAGGACCAAGTCAGAAACCCTGCCAGAATTGAAAATAAAAGCATATAGAACCCCTTCAGAAGCAGTTAAGAACAAGCCAGCACCTAAGCAGCAGAGAGGAGCTGGAATCAGAACTTCTGTGATCTCTGAAAGCAGCCATTGTGATAACAAGGTTGAGAAGACCCCAAGTTTTAGCTACAGTGATGACAATCCTGTGATTGAGAAAACTGTGGTGATACTTGAAAATGAAGTTGTCTCCAATTTGCCGGTCCAGGCATCTGAAGGGAAGATAGATTCAGTTGATAAGTCATTCATGGATGTCCAACTAGCGATGGTTGGAATAGATATTGGATATAGTGCTATTCGTGCGTCGCCTTCTCCAATTTATGTAGTTGAAAGTGAAAATTCAAATGAAGGTAACCAGAATGATCAACTCAACCCTTATGAGGTAAACTTTTGAATTATATAGCACTCCCGTTGATCGTTGATTAATTATCCTGAAAGAGGGTTCATTTACTAGATTAGAGTGATTACGAAATATACGCAATAGCTTGAGCAAATTAATTAGAGTTTAAAACTGTGTTAGATGAGGAAAAGAAAACTACCTATTTTTAGAATACAGAACAATGTTCTCTGCCCTTGTGGCTTTTTTTTGTTTTCTGTTTTCAACCTTATATTTTTCTGTCATGTCATTTGAAATTTATTGAAATTTTCCAAGAGGGATACTATATGTAATGAAGGTAAAGGACTTGTTTAGCTTTACGTTTACTGTAAAAGATTGAGTTGTAGATCGCATGTTTTGCTCCACTCGTATTATGCAACGTGCTATGATTTTTAATGAATGGTGCACTGCAATCTTAGGTGTTGGATGCAAATGAACTTTCACAGAAAGCTATTTAGCGAACTTTTGATGCACATCTTCCCGGATATATGATTATGCTCACTGGGAATGAAGATCTATGGCATGCTAGTTATAATCTAGAGTGCCTGCCTGCAGGGTAAAACATGCATGCTGTAAATGCTGTCAATCAACTTTGTCTAGAGTCTAGTGTTTATTGTAAAACTCGGTCAAGTTCTCTAAATCAATTAATTTGGAGTGAATGTGATGATTGAGGTGATGGTCTAGTGTGATCAACTAAAAGTTTTCTTATTTGATTAAGCATAGGTTAAAACTGGCTATTCAACATTAATCTTCCTTGTTTGTTAGAGTTGATCAACCATGTTGATTAGATCAAATTTGACCACGGCCAATCTCATGAATGCTGATTGACAGTAAAAGTTTTGTACTCCTAGTTTTGTTTTCATCTTTGATACTTGGTTAGTTTAACCCGGTACTCTTCTAACTTCAAATTTCATTTCATCAACCTGTTGATAGTCTCAAGTAGCCCATTTTTTTGTTCTGCTCCTTGAAATTGATTAGAACTATCATGTAAGAAGATTTAAAGCTATTGCACAATAGGGTAGCGTAACTTTTAAAATTGCCATTTTGATTTAATATGTGAATTATAAATGTTTTCATTATAAATTTTTTAGCAATGAACTAATAAATGAATTTTGGTTATCTTCTTCATTTTGAAATTTATTGACAATTTGACCAGTCTGGTTCATGCTTCCAAATTGACGATGTAAACCTATTACCGAAAAGTGGTTTACACTTTCAGATATTTCTCAACAGATGAAGCATTAAACCATGTGTCCTTGTTGCTGTTGCATGATCATACCCACAAAAGACTCCTATTTCTGACAGTATAATATAACAAATTTTTAATTGCATGTAAATTGATATATGAGATTTAGCATTAGGGCTGATCTGTAACCATTAACATCGCTGCTTCAAAACTTACCAACTTGCTATGTTATATTTTTTGCTCAATTGACATTTATGATTGGCTTTTTGAGAGTTCATGGATCAGAATTTTTATGTTATTTATTTTTTGTTTAGTTTGTAAATCATGTTTCAAAGGATGAATCTGAGAAATTACTCGATGAGACCGTACCCGACATGCTTTATCAAGCTCCATTTGCAAGAGCATCTTCTTTGGAGGAATCTGGTGCTCGTATTTCTCAAAATGCTGTAGTGCCACCCGTTGTAAACACTGAAACTATCAAGGCTTATGCGCACCATGTCTCTGTTATGAACATGGTGGATCAAATGGATGAATCGAATGAGAAGACTCAAAACAGAGAATTAAAAGGTCTTAAAAAGTTCTGGAAATTTGGGAGAAAAAGCCCCAGCTCTGGTTCTGGTGATAACTTGGATTCAAATGGATCAATTGCTTATGATAATATGGCTACTTCTGCTAGCGACAGTAAGAGTTGTTCTCCCTCTTTACCACATCATTATCTTTTGATTGGTGAAAATATTCTTATTCCATAATTTATTCTTTTTCCTAAGGATAAATCATTGATTTTTTTTCATTTAAAAAATCTGATGATTCTGTCTTTATCATTATCTCAGCTTCTACTCTGAAGAATCTGATTTCTCGAGATGAAATTAATATTGGTGGCGCTCAGACAAAAGGTTAGATTTAGTTTTCACTTTTCCAAATTGAATTAAAAGGCATATGGTCCTGCACTTATCCTATCAAAAGAGGGGTATGGAGCAATAATTTTCTTTTCAGGAATTTAGAGCTATTGGGTTTGAATCATTAAAATCGACACCACATTGCCAGAAAACTTTAATTTTCTTGGACAAATTGTCATATTGAAGACTATGATTTGGGATTATAGATTTAAATCATGAAAGTAGCTTTTCTTCATCATAATTATAAAGATCATATGCTTGAGAAGTTCTCTCTGCAAGCTTCAAATAAATCTTTATCTTCATTGTGACAGAGCAATCTCTGCTCACGCCTGCACTGAAAACCTAACTATTCTCACCACATTTCATTAGTGTGGAGGTTCTTTTATATTTGATGATATTAAAATTTTTAGGCAGCGGTTTATTCCTTGTGGCAGCTTGAAGTTTTCAATATAATGAGGTTTTTTTATTTTTTTATTTTATCATTATTTGTTTTGTTTTATTGTTCAAAGTGATGGTGATATAGATGTGGATGTTATTGGTAGAATTCAAGTTGGTTGGTTGAAATGGAGGAATGTTTCGGACCTATTGTTTGATAGAAAAGTACCAATCAGACTGAAAGGAAAATTTCATAAGATGGTGGTGAGACCTGCAATGCTCCATGGTGCGTAATGTTGGCCTTTAAAAGAGAAGCATAAAACTAAGTTAAGTGTTGACGAGATGAGAATGTTAGGTGGATGAGTGGCTTTGCACTTAGAGACAAAATGCTAAATGAATATAATCTGTGATAGGATTGGTGTAGCTCCAATCGCAGACCAAATTAGATAGAGTTTTCTTAGATGGTTTGGTCACATTAAACTCGACCATCTGATGATCCGGTTAGGAGAGTAGATGTTTTAGATTCGACTTATATTAAGAAAGGCAGAGGTGGACCTAAAAAGATTTGTTCATACTGTATAAAAAATTATCTTAATTTATTAGAATTAAATGAAAATATGACACTCTATAGGATTCATGTGGCTGACCCCACTTAGTGGGATAAAGGCTTGTTGTTGTTGCTGTTTATTATTATTATTTGTTTTGTTTTATCTAACTGCATCTTTCTTTTATAGTTTCTCGTCCATTCTCCATCCTCTCCCCATTTCGAGGGAGGAACAATGAGAAGAAGGTTGCAGCTTGAGCTTTACTAACTTGGAAAATTGGAATTCTTTTTTTTTTTTTTTCCCCCTTTTGGGGGATCTTGTCATTGAACCAAAGCAGATATTGTGCTGTTTACTTTTTGTATTTATGTAAGATTTTCAGTTTGGAATGTGTAGTATTGATGTTCAAAGAACTCTAATACTGTGTTTGTATGATTGTTATGTCATTTTCAGTTTGTGATTGTTGAGACGTAGGGTGAGAATTTTGTAATTAACTGGGCTCTATGGATATTTTATTGGGGCATTTATATACATAGCACACAATTCTTATGTATTTACATATCTCACCCGTAATCTTTAATATTTATACACGCAGCATTCAAATCTTTAATATCAAATTAAAAATCGCACTATTACTAATTTTTAAAAGTAAAATATACATTTTCACACAAGTTTAAAACACGAAAATGTTATGTAAATATGAAAGTTTAAGCGTGGGACTTCTTATGTATTTACGTATCTCACACCTAAACTTTTATATTTATACACACAACACTGAAAACTTTAATATCCTCAATTCTTTACTAATTTTTAGAAGTAAAATATACATTTCCATACAGGTTTAAAACATCAAAATGTTATGTAAATATGAAAGTTTAAGCGTGGGATATGTAAATACATAAAAGTTTTATGCTAGGTGTGTAAATTTTCTTATTTTATTTAGTGGATTATCCAACTACCTTTAGCCAGTTTTGACTCTAGGTCTTGCATCTCATTAAGAAGAATTGTCATAATTATCATGATTAGTCTAATCATTTTCATTTTTGAGAGAGGATAATGTCCATCTTTAATTATTCATAAATTTTGTTTGCATTTTTTACATTGTTACCTTCAAGTGGTGATCTCTCTCCCTCTGAAAAAATTGATCTATTTATCTTTTGTGGCTTTGATAATCTTCATGCTTGGGCTTGTTTATTGCCTCTAGTCATGTTGCCTCTGCCTCTAAGAAGACCATACTATCTTCTTATATCATTATCATCTAGGATAATTGCATTATTAGAGTATTTATTTGCTTTTTATTGACATTTTATCCAAATTTGAGTAAATTTTCATATAAAAAAACTATCTTGTGTCAGTTTTATTTTACATTTTTAATTATATTGGGATTACATTTGAAGCTAAGGTGATCAAAATCTTGTAATTGCTACCACATAACTATATGATATATCTCATTTTAAAAAAAATTTGCCATCTAACATCTATAATTGGGATAATAATGCTTCTTGCTTGTACTTCTATATATCCAATTATTCTCTTTTAGTGGACCCTTGGGGAAGGTTGCTACACTGCTTTGATAAAATTATAAGATTTGCTACGACCAAAGGGAGAAATTTAAAAGTTAAAAGAGGCAACTGTAGCAATGGTCTTGAAATGAGATTAATGTCAATATTTCAGGAATGATTGTAGTGAGGAAGCTTTATTTCAACTTTTTTTTGGTGCATCATAAATTGGTCGCTTCGACTGAATCTCCCGTCTAGTGATCGGTGACCTCCTCGCACCCGTAAACAACCACTATAGCAATAGTCTTGAAATGAGATTCATGTCAATATTTTAGGAATGATTGTAGTGAGGAAGCTTTATTTCCACTTTTATTTGGTGCATCATAAATTGATAGCTTTGACTGAATCTCCCGTCTAGTGGTCGGTGGCCTCGTCTCAGCCATAAACAACCTAACCCAACCCAACAACCCAATCCAAAGAAAAAAAAAAAAGATTGATGAACTTCTTTTATATAAGGAAGTAATACTACTTAGTGAAATTTATGATATATTGATTATAAACTTTATAATATTCAAAACTCTTATGGCTTCTAGCAACCATTAACATTGAAGGGATTTTGATTCCCTTTTAATTATTGGTGCATTCGAGAAGACATTCTCCTTTTGAGGGGTTATTTTTAATTATTATTTAAAGAAACATACTGTTGGAAAGATTTTAGCATCCCAACTCAAAGATATGATAATGATTACAATGCATGTTCGCTCTGTTCTAAAGTTCTAAAACAAATCACATTTTTGAAGTCATTACTAGCGCAACACTTGAGAAGTCCTAAAGCTTATTCTATTATTTTTTTCTTTTTACACATCCATCACTTCTCACTTGATTTTTTTCATCACTAGCAAACTCCACATTAATTGTACCTAAGGTAGCTCCTAAGGTGTGTGGTCTTTACAAGTGCTTATGAGCTTAAACAATGATCCCTTAAGACTCCTTTAGATTTTTACGATTAGATATCAAACATCATGGAATTTTTAAGGAAAAATATTCCACCTTATGATAGATTTCATTCAATATCAATTTTGAATGTATATTGTTTATATTAGATCTATGATATTAATATTTAATATCAGCATGAGACCTTGTGATACAATGGATCTTAAGTGCAATACAGAAGTGTTGAATCCAGATTTATCCTTCAGAACAGGCCTCGAGGGATAAAGTGTAAGTAAGATGAGAGAAAAGGAAGAGACAGAGTATAGAGTACAAGATGAAAACTTAAGAGAAAATAGGTTCATGCTTTTATTCATAAAATAATCCTTATTTATAATCAGAGTACCCTCGATAAAGTTACATGCAGGTCATTATTATTTTTATAAATTTACTCTTACTTTATTGGGTGCGTTACGGATCAATATTGTCCCTTTGACACATTTTTGTAATCATAACTGATATTGGCATTTTGATATCCATAACTGATATTGACACTTCGTATCCATAACTGATATTTATGCATTTCAGTATCTATAAGTGATATTAACACCTTTCAACATGTCTAAGCCTTCTTGCCGACAAGTCTTTCAGTCAGTTGGTTTAGCTGGTTTGGGTCTGCTATTTTGTTTGGAGATCAGTTGGCCTTCGTTATAGGAAGTTGTATTGCTTTGAGAGTAGTTGTTGATCAACCTTAGGGTAGTTGTTAAAAGAATATCACGTTGATACTTGAGTTTGATGGGAGGTTAGACTTTTGTTCAATCGTTGGTGTAGATGTCTGTCTCTTCTTGGTTTGGGTGACATTAGATAGTTGGACAAGATTTCAGTAAATCGATAGTTCTTCAGTTAGTTGGCGATATTCAGTTGGTCGGCTTTATGAGTATTTGTAGCTTTTTGTCAGATTGATGATCCTTTTCTTTTCCCTTCTAATTAGACTGTTTGATCTCCTCATGATTTATAATGATTCCATATATATATATATATATATATTAGTTCCTCGATTCTCTTACTCTTTAAATGTTATGTTGTGATAAAGATAAGAGAATCCTAATGACAATAAATTTCATTTACAATTTCTCAATAATTTGATAATTAAACTACTCAGGTTTTCGCGCCCGTGCCCTTTGAAAATTGGATGAAGAGCCTATCTCCTACTCCCCTCCTTCCACAAACTTCAAGCAGCATTGACACGCCAAAAATTACCGCAAAGTAAGTTAGCCGCACAACACAAGTATACATGTCAAGTAATAATACAGTTAAAGACTACCGCGTATCGATCCCACATTGAAAGTGTTAAAAATTCATCCGAAGGGTGAATCTTTAATTTACAAAAATTCCAAACCTAGTTTAGTGCAATCATAAGCTGGAGATGGTTTCCTAAAATCCTACTTCAAAGCAAAATCAAAAGCGACATGTTCTGAAAAAGATGGAAAACAACGATAGATAAATCTTACTATTCTTCAAGTTATGTGGGGCACACGATCTAATGATTTAGGTAATGTGGATGTGCTAGAATTTCCGCTATGTAATTGTTGTCAACAGGGATCAATAGTCCTCCTTATGTCTATGTCTAGGTCAAAAGAATGCTAGAATCCATAAAGTTGAGGATTCCTGAATCCAATGACCTCCTGTGGATTTGTTTCGATCCCCTTTATAGGTTGTAAAACTCAGATAAAATAGGTCTATTATTATGCAAATTTTGTGGTTAACCATTTCGTTCTTCTGTGCAACGTGTAAGAGTTACAAATCATAAAATATGTTAACATCATAATTAATTATATTATGAGTAAATGAAACTTTATGATTAAAACAATAACAAAAAGTCCTAATTTCTCAAAAAAATGATATAGAGAAAGAAATCATGTGAGAAAACTAAAAAACACATCACATAAATCACAAAGGCATGAAATAAAGTTTAGTTATGCATGATAGAAAGAATCTCAGAAAAACATCCCATCGAAACAATTGTTGCAAGGAAAACTGAAAAGAAAACACTTACAAAATAATTTGTGTCATCTTCAACATCAGGCAACTCCTCTCTCTCATAGAATAACCTCTTAAACCATATAAGAACAATTGAAAAGAAAAAGTAGAAAAACTCTTGGGACCTCAACCCCAAGAGAGAAAGAGGAAACCTAAGGAAAACTCTCAAAAACCCTCAGCTTTGGTGCCCAAGCCCCATCCAAATCTCTCCTCTCCACCAAAAAAATGTTATATTCGTGCCTTAGCTTGCTCTCTTAAAGATTGAGTGAAAATCGACATGAAAATACCTTCCAAAACAGGTCATGGAGGTTCGAAAGCATGATTACGCCTGAAATCGGCATGGTCATGGGTGAAGCTGACATGGTCATGCCCAGATTAGGCGTGGTCACACCCAGGTCTAGCGTGACTACGTAAAACAACACTATTTCATGCTTTTTTACTCTTTTTTGCTGGTTTGACACATATAACATGCAAAATAGCACAAAGAACCTTTTACTAGCACAAAAATATGATAAATGAGGTGAAAAAGCAAGTAGAAAGAATGGTAACAAACATGTAAAATCATATAAAATTGACTTATGTCAATATGTCAAACTTGCCTCATTACTTGCACCAAGTAATCTCATAGCTTAGTTAGGGCCCCATGAAATTATAATAGGTATTCCTATATGTTTCTAAACTATTCAACTTATTGAAGTCAAATAAGTGTTTAAATGTCATTTTAGGCTAAGTTGTTCCTAATATTTAATAATTTGATCTTGTCCTTGATTTCCTTCGTTATGCCCCCAGAAAATCCTAAAATTCGTAAATTGTTGATAATTAAAACATCTTCAATAATCTCTAATGTTTTAAAACATATTCAATGGAACCAATCAATCTAATCCTACTTAACCTTTTGTTGGGTTATTAAAGAATCATGCAAATGTCTTATCACTTTAGTTCTTCTAAGA